CACTTAGTCACAAACACATGCATTAAAGACACAAGCTTATCCCTGTAGGTTTCCTCCGTCGCCCGTGTTATCATGGTTCAAAAAAGCAGAAAACTACACACACTGTCTAACTATTGCTGACAATCTTCAATATTCTGTAATATTTCCTTCCGTTCACCATTCAAACACGAATTCTCCGACATTAATGGTTTTCAATTTGAAGCCCGCTGAAGAATATTTCTGAAAACTTGGGTGCTAAATTTTAAAGATTTAGCGAAGTGATTATGTCTGGAAACATACATTCTTTATATTTTTAGGTTGTGTTAATGTGTATTGCTTGTGTCTTGACAAAGGAGCTGCTTGCCTGTAAAATCTGACAAGTAATATTGTACAAACTATCTAAGTGCACCGGTACTGGGCGATCTAGAGGCCAGAGGTCCAAGGTTCCGGTTCAAATCCTCATTTAGAGCGGCTTGATATGTAACATTTGTTTGTTTGAATCCAGTGCCAATATTGGCTCACAATGTCATTATTACTACATACTTGCCAACGTTTTGAAATGTCCATGGGGGAGGTTACACATGGGGGAGGTTACACATGGGGGAGGTTACACATGCTCAGAATTAAAAGCATGAATAAAATGTGTTTATGCACACCATACGGGAAAATAACACTTTAAAATGGCATCTTTTGATCTGTTCTTTCAGATGAAATCATCAGATCTTAGACTTAGAAAAAAAAGAATAGGTTAGCAAATTCACAGGTTGAAAATGCTCAATTTTAGGGCTATATATATACACCTACATGTATGTTCCCAGACAGGAAACATATATTGGGTGCTAGTTTCATTTGTTGGGGTTTTCTTCGGGTTCTCTAGTTTACTCCTATTATCCACTCTGTGGTTTCCATGCAGTCAAAAAGAAGGATTAATGTAAGTTTTCTGACTTTTTTCAAAAACATTTAGCTGCTGCAAAATACATGTTTATATTTATATTGGCTGGTCTGTGTATGGTTGTATCACACCAGCTAGTACAAGAACTGGATTATCTTGTCTCCATATATTGGTAGGTTTCCCAGGCGATAAACAAGGAGATAGGTCTATTTTATAACAAATGACTTCCGCTGAAATATCGGACAATGGGCATGTCAGGTGTGACAGATGTTTTGTGCCTGTCAATGGCACTGTATTCAACTGTAAAACAGGTTTGTTGGCTACATATTACCATTGGGACCCAATTCACACAAAATGAAAGCCGACTTTCTTTATTACAGTTTCAGCTCCTCCAAAGATCTAGTGTGTCATAGTAGACCAGCTTCTCCGAGGATCTAGTCGTCATATTGGACCAGATTCTCCGAGGATCTGGTAGTCATATTGGACCAGATTCTCCGAGGATCTAGTGTGTCATAGTGGACCAGCTTCCCCGAGGATTGGGGAGTCATAGTGGACCAGCTTCTCCGAGGATCTAGTGTGTCATAGGGGACCAGCTTCTCCAAAGATCTAGTGTTTCATAGTGGACCAGCTTCTCCGAGGATCTCGTAGTCATTGTGGACCAGGTTCTCCGAGGCTCTGGTAGTCATAGTGGACCAGCTTCTCTAAAGATCTAGTGTGTCATAGTAGACCAGCTTCTCCGAGGATCTAGTGTGTCATAGTGGACAAGCTTCTCCGAGGATCTGGTAGTCATAGTGGACCAGCTTCTCCGAGGATCTGGTAGTCATTGTGGACCAGGTTCTCCGAGGATCTGGTAGTCATAGTGGACCAGCTTCTCCGAGGATCTGGTGTGTCATAGTGGACCAGCTTCTCCGAGGATCTGGTGTGTCATAGTGGACCAGCTTCTCCGAGGATCTGGTGTGTCATAGTGGACCAGCTTCTCCGAGGATCTGGTGTGTCATAGTGGACAAGCTTCTCCGAGGATCTGGTGTGTCATAGTGGACAAGCTTCTCCGAGGATCTGGTAGTCATAGTGGACCAGCTTCTCTAAAGATCTAGTGTGTCATAGTAGACCAGATTCTCCGAGGATCTGGTAGTCATAGTGGACCAGCTTCTCCGAGGATCTAGTCGTCATATTGGACCAGATTCTCCGAGGATCTGGTGTGTCATAGTGGACAAGCTTCTCCAAAGATCTAGTGCGTCATAGTGGACCAGCTTCTCCGAGGATCTGGTAGTCATAGTGGACCAGCTTCTCCAAAGATCTAGTGTGTCATAGTGGACCAGCTTCTCCGAGGATCTAGTGTGTCATAGTGGACCAGATTCTCCGAGGATCTGGTGTGTCATAGTGGACCAGCTTCTCCGAGGATCTGGTAGTCATAGTGGACCAGCTTCTCCGAGGATCTAGTCGTCATATTGGACCAGATTCTCCGAGGATCTGGTGTGTCATAGTGGACAAGCTTCTCCAAAGATCTAGTGCGTCATAGTGGACCAGCTTCTCCGAGGATCTGGTAGTCATAGTGGACCAGCTTCTCCGAGGATCTGGTGTGTCATAGTGGACCTGGATTTTAAATCAAGGGATGGAAGTCGTCCATCATCGTCGCTATCTTTGTATCACACTTTCCCCCTAAAATCCCCCCCCCCCCCCCCCCCCCCCCNTCTCGGGAGAAGACAAGCATTTTTAGCTCAAAATAATTACATAAAACATAAACAAGCTCCAATAGGACAGATATACTCAGCCAGATAAGGTGTATCAGTTTTCAAATCCTTTCACAGAGAAAGTCAGGAAAACTCATCTTTAAAACATGTGTGTCTCCTTAGCAATGATATATTTCTCTGGTTTGTAAAGAAGAGAGATAGGGGAGGTTGGAAGTAGGGAAGCTTGGTAAGGGGATAAGCTTCTCTGAGATATTGGCTGCCCATAACTGACCCCGCTATTCTGTCTGATCAATCCAGCATGACGAAGAAGATAGTACCTGCAAGATAATACAGAATTTTCAACTTCCCAGAAGCCCCTGTAGTATTGTTGTCACGGTAACATGTGGTAGTACTATCACTCCTGGAAGCTTCGAGGCTATTATGTGGTACAGTAATCTAACGGTAACATATGGCGGTGACTCCCTAGGGTCCCAACACGTGTCACTGTAGCAATGACAATTAGTCAAGCTGTTCCCTAGGGAGTCATCATAACTCTCCCTATGTATATAATACCTCCATTTTTAAATATGATACAGAACGCCGGCCCCTCCCCCTTCCTATCACTTGTCTCCCTTCACTCTGCTCTCTCTGATTCCGATGCTGTACTGATATGTCACAATCTTCCTATGTCCCGTGTAGATGTACTGGAGGAATAACCCAAAGGATAAATGTCTTCAATTGGGATCAGACCTTCGACTCTAGACTTTCTAGTGGGGATTATATAGCTCCACTCCTGAGCATCAGAGAAAATCCCTCTAGCTAAAGCACCTAAAGTGACATTGACACTGTGTACAATGCACATCTTAACATGTGTTTTTACATGTGGGTATGACAGACAAGTGTAAATATAATACAGTGATCACCGATAGGTTCCAATGGGTATCTCATAAACATGTCATAAAGTCGGTTTATCTGTTCAGAATAATTTGAGTATACTGTAGGTCATACATGGTTTTGAGTAAAAGTAGCAAACTAAATCAAACAATATAAAAAGTATTATTTTTATTTAAAACTCTGAAAAGTCCTTTTAGACACTGTTTATTTCATTTTAGAAATTGACCCTGAATGACCTTGGCCTTTGATGAAACAACCTAAAACTTATATAGGTATAAAGTACCCCTGACTACAATCTTTTATATGACATGAGATGTGTTGGATAGATACCAGAAAATCACATTACAAGGCTGACATAGAATCATCCATGGACAGACAGAAGTAACCATAAAATGTTCTAAACATTCTTCTGTGAAAATTGTCCTTGACGACTATTCCACTGCTGATTTACTTCACTTCAATGCTGGCATACTTAAAGCTCTCGAGGAGATTCCGACTACTTATTAGTGTTTCACCGTCATCTATTCTCGTCTCTAATTCTCGATACTTAATATCTTCTGGGTACAACTTAATCAGTTAGACATTCTATTACCAATTTTGTTACTCTGGAATTCAATTGTCAAAAATTGAATCAGAAACTGCTTGCCGATCTCGATATGATAAGAGACAAAAATTGAAGGATTATTTACAGTATGTCTGAGACACATTTGTCTAATAAAGAAACATCACCTTGATCTGTCTACAGTAACCATGGTAACAGAGATGTCACCTTGGTCTGTCTACAGTAACCATGGTATCAGAGATGTCACCTTGGTCTGTCAACAGTAACCATGGTAACTGAGGTGTCGCTTTGATCTCACTATAGAAGCCATGGTAACTGTGGTGTCACCTTGGTCTGTCTACAGTAACCATGGTAACTGAGGTGCCACTTTGATCTCACTATAGAAGCCATGGTAACTGTGGTGTCACCTTGGTCTGTCTACAGTAACCATGGTAACTGAGGTGTCTACTTGATCTCTCTATAGTAGCCATGGTAACTGTGGTGTCACATTGGTCTCTCTATAGTAGCCATGGTAACTGTGGTGTCACATTGGTCTCTCTATAGTAACCATGGTAACTGTGGTGTCACATTGGTCTCTCTATAGTAACCATGGTAACTGTGGTGTCACATTGGTCTCTCTATAGTAACCATGGTAACTGTGGTGTCACATTGGTCTCTCTATAGTAACCATGGTAACTGTGGTGTCACATTGGTCTCTCTATAGTAGCCATGGTATCTGTGGTGTCACATTGGTCTCTCTATAGTAACCATGGTAACTGTGGTGTCACATTGGTCTCTCTATAGTAACCATGGTAACTGTGGTGTCACATTGGTATCTCTATAGTAACCATGGTAACTGAGGTTTGCTGTGTTCTGTCTTTTGTTACTATGGTAACTAAGCTTTCACCTTGTCTCTCTATTGTTACCATGGTAACTGAGGTTTGCTGTGATCTGTCTTTAGTTACTATGGTAACTAACGTTTCACTTTGGTCTGTTTGTTGTTGCCATAGAACTTAGGTCTTACCTTGGTCTGTGACTTTGAAGAAGAAGATATCGCTAGTGACTGTTGCTCCCTTGGCCAGGACATACCGGATCTCACGCTGGTCGATGTCAACTGTAAAGGAAATATAAAACTTATTAGGCCTATAGGGCAAAACAATCTAATGTTATCATCTCAATAGAAACGATGTCATGTTGTTTGATGGGAACAAATCTGCTTGTTCCTAAAGTGTTTGTGCTTGTATAAAACAATCACTTTGATTGACATATCGTGTTTGAAACAGATCTTATTTCAATACTCAGTTTGTATGTTGAAAATGCTGAAATTGTTCATCATAAACTTTGTCAGGCCAAACCATCTTTCGTCAGTTTATGGCACACCTAAGATTCAACAGTTTTGAAAAATGCCATATTACTATGTTCTGAGACAATGAGAGCTGCTATCAGCTGTTTACGGAGACAATAAAAACTGGTGTTTGGTCGTGTTACTGTAATAGGGCTTGACACGTCTGATACTGCGGTGATCATATCAGAGCACCATCATGTCAACATGGACCTTCGACTGGTGAAAATAGAAAAATAACTTTTGGAACATGAATTTTAAATCTCTGTAGACTTCGGTTCCTGCGACAGGATTTCTATATTCTGCCACACTAAGTGGGATGTTTGGGAAGCATGCGATGGCGACTCCTCAGGGAGATGAAGGTATTGGTACTGATAGAACACAGATTACCGGTCCAGCCAGTCGTATCATCTCACCGACCTTGTATACACGCAACACCGTTTGTCTATCGTGTTTACTCTACTAAGTCTTCGTCCACATTGTGTACCTCTCTAGAATTTGTCTATAACATGTATTTGTATCAGGAATGGACTGGGTCGATCGTCTATGACCAGGTAGCTCAATCGGTTAGAGTGTGCTTCTAGAGTTCTGACATACTGGGTTCAAATCCCAGATTGGCAAAGCAGTTTTCCTTGACAGTGGTGCCTGTGACCAGGACTTGATGTATGCTTAGCAAGGGGAAACCGAACCTAGGTTACAAATAGTTGTGTCTTCAGGGGGGGAAGACTTAGTATAAGGAGGGAGAAATGTGGTGAAACTGGACTAGGTCAATCGCCTGTGACCAGGTAGCTCCATTGGTCTGAGCGTCCGGCTAGAGTTTGAAGGGTCCTGGTTTGAATTCTGGTCTGGCAGTGTATTTCTCTCCTTCTGTTACATATTTTAACAAGGAGTTTGTCTGCAGTGTGTATCTCGTTAATAGTAAGTCTATTACATCTATATCATTAACAGTCTGCAGTGTATATCACTGTCTGTAATAGGTTTTTATACGTAATCGGATAAAATAACCGCCATTAATTGTTGTTTTATGTACACCAGTAAATCTACTTGGTTTACAGTTGATTCCGCCATCAGAAGAGCTGTTTAATACAACAGCTAATCTCTCCACAAATCAAATAAACTCCGATGTGTAACAAATATTACTAATTAACGACAATATCAACGCATATCAACTGTTACTTAACCACATGCAAACATCATCAAGTCTGGGGTCAAGGTCACTGTAATCAAATCAAGGGTAGTCGGAGCATGTCTGCTGATAACTGACAAATAAGTTAAAACATGTTTCATTCAAAGGAATTTCCAAACCCAGGTATGAACAATTTAGTGTGAAAAAGTATTAGAAGGCAAGCCAGGGGGATCTGAGCAGATTTCGTTTTATTATGTTATCCCCCTCACCATCTAAAGCATTGCCAAATCTCACACAGAGCCGGCACCAAGCCAGCTGCACAGGAAGGGACCAATACACTGTTGTATCATCACTTTATCCTGTTTTAACTTATGATATTCCATTCATGCTATCAATTTTTGTCATTATATATGTTGCCATGTACCAAGATCAAGTTCACTTGAGTAAAACATGTGATATAAGTATTGTAGGTAAATACGAGTATTAAACCAGACCTGCTTGCCAAGGACATGACCTCTAACCTCTATGATACATCTTGAACTCTGACCTGTCCCGAATGCTGAGGACAGCCTGACCTCTAACCTTTATGATACATCTTGAACACTGACCTGTTTGCCAAGGATAAGACCTTTTACCCCTATGATGCAACATGTTGAACCCTGACCTATCCTGAATGTTGAGGACATCATGAACTCTAACCTCTATGACACAACAGCTTGAACCTTGACCTGAATGCTGAGGACAGCCTGACCTTTAACCTCTAATAGATAACACCTTGAACCCTGACCAGAATAACAGACATCACAACTCTAACATGACACAAACCTGAATCAACCTCGACTTATCTTAGTCACAATTCCTGAGAAGGAGAAAAATGACCCCTGCCCTGTATGACATAGACTGGCTATGAGCCCCTGCCCTGTATTACATAGACTGGCTATGAGCCCCTGCCCTGTATGATATAGATTGGCTATGAGCCCCTGCCCTGTATGACATAGCCTGGCTATGGGCCCCGGCCCTGTATGACATAGACTGGCTATGAGCCCCTGCGCTGTATGACATAGACTGGCTATGAGCCCCTGCGCTGTATGACATAGACTGGCTATGAGCCCCTGCCCTGTATTACATAGACTGGCTATGAGCCCCTGCCCTGTATGATATAGATTGGCTATGAGCCCCTGCCCTGTATGACATAGCCTGGCTATGGGCCCCGGCCCTGTATGACATAGACTGGCTATGAGCCCCTGCGCTGTATGACATAGACTGGCTATGAGCCCCTGCGCTGTATGACATAGACTGGCTATGAGCCCCTGCCCTGTATGACATAGACTGGCTATGGGCCCCTGCCCTGTATGACAAAGACTGGCTATGAACCCCGGCCCTGTATGACATAGACTGGCTATGAGCCCCTGCCCTGTCTGCCATAGATTGGCTATGAGCCCCTGCCCTGTATTACATAGATTGGCTATGAGCCCCTGCCCTGTATTACATAGATTGGCTATGAGCCCCTGCCCTGTATTACATAGATTGGCTATGAGCCCCTGCCCTGTATGATATAGATTGGCTATGAGCCCCTGCCCTGTATTACATAGATTGGCTATGAGCCCCTGCCCTGTATTACATAGATTGGCTATGAGCCCCTGCCCTGTATGACAAAGACTGGCTATGAACCCCTGCCCTGTATGACATAGACTGGCTATGAGCCCCTGCCCTGTATTACATAGACTGGCTATGGGCCCCTGAGTTATTTTCTAGCAACTTTTCTCCCGCTAGTTTGAAACTAGAATCAAAGTGATCACAGTGTTTAGTTTCTAATTCAAAATTCCATATTCTAGTGATGGGGTTGAGTTCATCTATAACGTTATTTACATTATATGCAGATGTACATTTTACACATGCAGGTATACATTATATACAGGTATACATTATAAACAGGTGTACATTATATACAGGTATACATTTTACACATGCAGGTGTACATTATATACAGGTACACATTATATACAGGTATACATTATATACAGGTACACAATATATACAGGTATACATTATATACAGGTATATATTATATACAGGTATCTATTATAGATAGGTGAACATTATATACAGGTATACAGATTTATATGATACAAAGACATATCCAATATATCAGGAATTTCTAATACTGTAAGTCTTCCCCCTTCCCCCAGAAATCTCTTCTGTTGAGGTTCATCTCCTGGGAACACTAGCATTACAGCCAGGGTTTAATAGATGGGTAAGGTGTGATGATGTGACAATGGCGAGTAAAAGAAGCGCAGAAAACAGTAACGTTTAAGTACATTTAATTCCAAGTAGTGCAATTTGAAGTAACTTTAACAACTGGTGAGGGTCGATGTGGGCTAATGATTGCATATTTGAATTAAAAATCCATTAAAGGCAAGAACTTGGGGATGGATGGTCTCCTGCTTCACGTCGCAGTGTGGCTCACAAAATGCATCACCAACCGACAAATTACCATCCACTGAATATTTTACGACCTGCTCGTGAAATTCCCTAAAACATAAGGTTATTAAACTCCTCTTGCGTGTGATCTTAGCATGTCTTAATTACATACCATCACAAATGTTAGATGTTAGATACAAACTGTCAGAAATGCTATATATATAACGTCAGAAACACTTCTACTGACAAAAACTTTAGTTACACACAGAAACCCTAACTACACACAGAAACCCTTACCCTAACTACACACAGAAACCCTAGTTACACACAGAAACCCAAAATATACATAGAAACCCTAAATACACTTAGAAACCCTAGTTACACATAGAAACCCTAGTTACATACAAAACCCCTAAATACACACAGAAACCAGTTACACACATAACCCTTGCTTATATTTTAAAAAGCTACATATTACCAGAAACCTTAAATATGGACCGCTAGCTAAACACCCCTATTTTTTATCAGAAAATCTATACACACAATGTCACAAACCTTAGCTGTATACAACCCTATAGTCCAGAAACCCTAGCTGCATGTAACCCTATAGTCCAGAAACCCTAGCTGTATGCAACCCTATAGTCCAGAAACCCTAGCTGTATGCAACCCTATAGTCCAGAAACCCTAGCTGTATGCAACCCTATAGTCCAGAAACCCTAGCTGTATGTAACCCCTATAGTAATGTAATGTCAGAAACCCTAGCTGTATGTAACCCCTATAGTAATGTTATGTCAGAAACCCTAGTTGTATGTTACCCTATAGTAATGTTATGTCAGAAACCCTAGCTGTATGTAACCCTATAGTAATGTTATGTCAGAAACCCTAGCTGTATGTAACCCAAAAGTAATGTTATGTCAGAAACCGTAGCTGAATGTAACCCTATAGTCCAGAAACTTTAGCTGTATGTAACCCCTATAGTACATCTGTGTTTCTTTATGCTACCAGGATTGACACGTTTTGTATCCAAATTGTTTATTTTGAAATGTATAATACTCCGACTTTACGGTAAATAAGTGTTGGTATAAGCAGCCTACAGATGTTTTTTGTGTTAGGTCTGTTTGGGATCACTGGGCCTAGTAACTTGTCATCCTCACAAGTATACTAAAAACCTCCACAGAGGTTAGAACCCAAGGAAACCGAATTCTCCACAAGTGTGTCGAGGTAC